GAATATTGGATGTAGAATAAAGAAGTTAGAAACAAATGTTTTGTAGTTACTTGGAGGACTAAAATACCCCAGTGGTCAGTGGGAAGCCCTGCAAACACAGGGGCCTTAGGCATGTTGGCCAGGTGGTCACCTATTTACTTTTATGGCGAACATCTTGAGTCTGAAGGCCGTCAATTTACTTCTATGGTGCAAAGCTTGGCCTGAAGGCCATCAATTCACTTCTATGGTGCAAAGCTTGGCCTGAAGGCCATCAATTCACTTCTGTGGTGCAAAGCGTGGCCTGAAGGCCATCAATCCACTTCTGTGGTGCAAAGTCTGGCCTGAAGTTCATCTATTCACTTCTATGGTGCCAAACTTGGCTTGAAGGTCATCTATTCACTTCTATAGTGCAAAGCTTGGCCTGAAGTTCATCAATTCACTTCTATGGTGCAAAGCTTGGCCTGAAGGCCATCAATTCACTTCTATGGTGCAAAGCTTGGCCTGAAGGCCATCAATTCGATTCTATAGTACAAAGCTTGGCCTGAAGGCCATTTATTCACTTCTATAGTGCAAAGCTTGGCCTGAAGTTCATCTATTCACTTCTATGGTGCCAAGCTTGGCTTGAAGGTCATCTATTCACTTCTATAGTGCCAAGCTTGGCCTGAAGTTCATCTATTCACTTCTATGGCGCAAAGCTTGGCCTCAAGTTCATCTAGTCACTTCCATGGTGCCAAGCTTGGCCTTAAGGTCATCTATTCACTTCTATGGTGCCAAACTTGGCCTTAAGTTCATCTATTCACTTTTTATGGTGCCAAGCTTGGCTTGAAGGTCATCTATTCACTTCTTAGGTGCCAAGTTTGGCCTGAAGGTCATCTATTCACTTCTATGGTGCAATGCTTGGCCTGAAGGCCATCTTTTCAGTTATATGGTGTGAAGCTTGGCCTGAAGGTCATCTATTCACTTCTATGGTGCAATGCTTGGCCTGAAGGCCCATCTTTTCAGTTATATGGTGTGAAGCTTGGCCTGAAGGCCATCCATTCACGTCTATGGTGCAATGCTTGATCTGCAGGCCATCTATTCAATTTTATGGTGCAAAGCATGGCCTGAAGGCCATCTATTCACTTCCATGGAGGACAGCTTGAACAGTTGGATGCTCAATTAATTCTACAGTGCATAGCTTGACCTGAAGGCTGTCTATTTACTTCTATTGCAGACAGCTTTAACAGTTAAATCTCGTACACACTGCTAGTTTTTTTCATTGAACCCAGAGGGCTGAAACAAAAAAAAACTGGCAGCTAACTATCCAATGTTAGTACAGCAATCTCCTCTGCTGTGCCATTGTGTTCTGATAGTCCGACAGGGAAGACTGTTCCCCCCTCTTCCCGCCAGAACACTCCGGTCATTGGCTGACAGCGCTGATCGGGAGTCGATCTGCAGACGTTTTTTGGTCATGCCATTTCAACAGAAGCTGGCCGAAGAGCCGAACTGCTGAATGTCAGCCGGTTTCTACTGAAGCAGCCGATGTCGCCCAACATTTGGCCTGTGTGTACCAGGCTTTAGACCCCCATTAACGTCTACAGTGCATGGTTTGGCCTAGAGATCGTCTATTTACTTATATAGTAGACAGCTTAGCCCAACGGCTGACTCGAACATTTAGAAAAGAAAGAAAAATCACAACGTCATCACCCCAGGGTTCTGACAGGGACCAGCCATATAATTAGAATGTCTGAATTAGTCAAGATCAGGGGCGGGCTGACCATTCAGGAACTCAGGCACTGCCCGAGGGCCCTGGGTCAGTAGGGGGCCCCATGAAATGCCCCTGGCACCTTTTTTATTGGCTTTTTTGGGTGTGCTTTGAGTGTGGGCAAGGACACAGGGGCCCCATGATCCCCTATTGCCCAGGGGCCCCATGAGTTGTCAGTCCGCCACCTGGTCAGGATCTTAAAGCATGTACAGTGTATAGAATCTTTTCTCTGTTGTATGCTTTCAGCTCCGGTATCCTATGCACCGGCTGTAATTGGTAAAGCAACATTTTCCAGACACAGAGAGCAGAGAAGGTTGGCACTGAGTCTGAGAGATGGACAAGTAGGACAGGTTGGTGTCACAGTGATGTGCTGTAATATTCCTATCTCTTCCTCAACCTCCTAGGGATGGCACAGCAACAGACAATTCATATGGAGGTATGCCATAGTGCCCCATCATTGGTGTCAGTGGGAGCAATGCCCCATCAGTGGTATCAGAGGGAGGGATAGTATCCCATCGTTGGTGTCAGTGGGAGGAATAGCACTCCATCACTAATGTGAGTGGAAGGAATAGTGCCCCATTGCTGGTGTCAGTGAGAGGAATAATGCCCCTGGTGTCAGCCGACAGAATAGTGTCCCACGATTGGTGTCAGTGGAAGGAATAGTGCCCCATAGCTGGTGTCAGTGTGAAAAATAGTGCCCCTGGTGTCAGTGGTAGGAATAGTGCCCCATCATTGGTGTCAGTGGTAGGAGTAGTGCTCCATCATTGGTGTCAGTGGTAGGAATAGTGCCCCATCATTGGTATCAATGGTAGGAATAGTGCCACATCATTGGTGTCAGTGGAAGGAATAATGCCCCATCACTAGTGTCAGTGGAAGGAATAGTGCATCATTGGTGTCAGTGGGAGGAAAAGTGCCCCATCATTGGTGTCAGTGGAAGGAATAGTGCCCCATTGCTGGTGTCAGTGAAAGGAATAGTGCCCCATCATTGGTGTCAGTGGGAGGAATAGTGCCCCATCATTGGTGTCAGTGGAAGGAATAGTGCCCCATTGCTGGTGTCAGTGTGAAAAATAGTGCCCCTGGTGTCAGTGGTAGGAATAGTGCCCCATCATTGGTGTCAGTGGGAGGAAAAGTGCCCCATCATTGGTGTCAGTGGAAGGAATAGTGCCCCATTGCTGGTGTCAGTGAAAGGAATAGTGCCCCATCATTGGTGTCAGTGGGAGGAATAGTGCCCCATCATTGGTGTCAGTGGAAGGAATAGTGCCCCATCGCTGGTGTCAGTGTGAAAAATAGTGCCCCTGGTGTCAGTGGTAGGAATAGTGCCCCATCATTGGTGTCAGTGGTAGGAGTAGTGCTCCATCATTAGTGTCAGTGGTAGGAATAGTGCCCCATCATTGGTATCAGTGGTAGGAATAGTGCCACATCATTGGTGTCAGTGGAAGGAATAGTGCCCCATCATTGGTGTCAGTGGGAGGAATAGTGCCCCATCATTGGTGTCAGTGGAAGGAATAGTGCCCCATCGCTGGTGTCAGTGGGAGGAATGGTGCCCCATCATTGGTGTCGGTGGAAGGAATAGGGTCCCATCATTTGTGTCACTGTGGTGTCAGTGGAAGGAATAGAGCCCCATCGCTGGTGTCACTGGAAGGAATAGTGCCCCTTTGTTGGTGTCGGTGGAAGGAAGAGTGTTTTGTCTTTGTTGTCACTAGGAAGAACAGTGCCCATCATTGCTGTCAGTGGAGGGAATAATGCCCCATGGCTGGTGTCAGTGTGAGGAATAATGCCCCTGGTGTCAGTAGAAGAAATAGTGCCCTATGATTGCTGACAGTAGAAGGAATAGTGCCTCATCATTGGTATCGCCGTCAGTGGAAGGAATAGTGCCCCATCATTGGTGTCACTGTCAGTAGAAGGAATAGTGCCCCATCATTGGTGTCACTGTCAGTGGAAGGAATAGTACCCCATCATTGGTGTCACTGTCAGTGGAGGGAATAGCACCCCATCATTGGTGTCACTGTCAGTGGAAGGAATAGTACCCCATCGTTGGTGTCACTGTCAGTGGAAGGAATAGTACCCCATTATTGGTGTCACTGTCAGTAGAAGGAATAGTACCCCATCATTGGTGTCACTGTCAGTGGAAGGAATAGTACCCCATTATTGGTGTCACTGTCAGTGGAAGGAATAGTACCCCATTATTGGTGTCACTGTCAGTGAAGGAATAGTGCCTCATCATTGGTGTCACTGTCAGTGGAAGGAATAGCACCCCATTATTGGTGTCACTGTCAGTAGAAGGAATAGTACCCCATCATTGGTGTCACTGTCAGTGGAAGGAATAGTACCCCATCATTGGTGTCACTGTCAGTAGAAGGAATAGTACCCCATCATTGGTGTCACTGTCAGTGGAAGGAATAGTACCCCATCATTGGTGTCACTGTCAGTGGAAGGAATAGTGTTTTGTCGTTGTTATCATTAGGAAGAACAGTGCCCGCCATTGGTGTCAGTGGGAGGAACAGTGTAATGCATGCCATCGTGGTGCATTTCTACGACATTTACAGAGTTAAAACTGGAGGTGAGGAGGCATCATATCACCTCCTCACTGACTGTTATATGCCTCTGAAAAGTGATCTGAATGCAGGTTGCTTTTTAGCGGCGTGGCAGTTTACATGCAAGTCTAAATGTAGCCATAAGATTAAGCTCCCTATCAAAACTTGCAGTACCATAGCAAGGAAACCCCCCAACAGGGTAACGCCCCTCGCACCTTCTCAAAGGCAAGTAGGATGTGCAATGCAAAGATAGAGAACCCCCAGAAGGTGGAGACAAGCGGAGACTAGAAAGCATGTGATGAAGGGGAGACGGAAGTAGGTTTTACCGCCTCCCAACCACTTGTGTGAGCAAGTCCTAATGCAGGCCATAGACGGGTCGAAAATTGGCCGATTTTTCGAAAAAAAAAACCCCAAAAAAAAACTGAAAATCGGTCGTTCAGTCGGCCGACGTTACCACCAGGGGCAGCCTGACAACTCATGGAGCCCTCGGGCAATAGGGAATCATGGGGCCCCTGTGTCCTTGTCCAAACTCAAAAAAGCCTATGAAAAAGGTACCAGGGGCATCTCTCTCATGGGGCCCCCTACTGACCCCGGGCCCTCGGGCAGTGCCCGAGTTTCCAAATGGTCAGTCCGCCCCTGGTTACCACCAACGGTAAAAAAAAAAAATCGGCCGACTAAATCATAAAGTTCACCCCATAACTTCTGTCCCTTGCAGGTCACGGCCAGGGGCGGACTGACAACTCATGGGGCCCCAGGGCAATAGGGGATCATGGGGCCCCTGTGTCCTTGCCCAAACTCAAAAAAGCCTATGAAAGGTACCAGGGGCATCTCATGGGGCCCCCTACTGACCCCGGGCCCTCGGCCGGTGCCCGAGTTTCCAAATAGTCAGTCCGCCCCTGGTCACGGCTCACGATTTTTTATTGGTGAAACGATCGGTCGATTTGCCCATCATTGCCGGGAAAATTGACCAATCGTCAAAATCGGCCGCGAATTTTCCAACATGACCGATAAAAAAACAGTGCAAAAAACCCAAAAAACAGCCAACCAATTAACCCGCTGACAGTTCGGCCGATTTTTTTTTTTTGGCCGAAAAATCTGCTGATTTTCGACCCGTCTATGGCCGGCATTAGGAGGAAGTAAAAAATGAATGGCATTGCATGTGTTGCATTGACATGCATTTTGAATGTCGGTTTTTGGGACATTTTGGGAAGAGACTGGCCTCAGGTAATACACAGAGATGAAACAAAACCTCCTACATAAGTTGTAGCTGTTTATCTGTAGCTCTCTTTTCTCTACAGCCATTAAAAGTCCAGAATTTATACAGTTTGTCTGAGCTCTCAGAACGCAGGGGCCAGGGAGCTGAAATTATACACTGCAGAGCTCAGTGAAGAGAGCTCTGGGAGCTGATTGGAGGGAAGGGACACACCCCCTCCACACAGCACACAGGAACAGAGCTGAGGCTGTCAATCACAGGCTGTGTGTTGGAGATCCCTGCACTGTCACCTGGCTCTTGGTGTCAGGAAAACTTGTCAAAGGTGACTCATGTAGATGGCTGAGGAATGGAACAGCAGACAGAAATGACACTTAGTGCTCTTACCAGTCTTTATTGCTCAGCTCCTGATGGCCAATTGACGTAGCACGGGAGTGAGGGAAATGAAGGTATGTGTTACTGGGGAGTGGGGAAGTTAGAAGTGTTACAAAACCCCGGACCCTGCGTTTACTATATCTGGTCCCCCTGGACCCCGCATTCACTATATCCGCTCTCCCCGGACCCTGCATGCATTCACTATATCCGCTCTCCCCGAACCCTGCATTCACTATATCCGCTCTCCCCGGAACCCTGCATTCACTATATCCGGTCTCCCCGGACCCTGCATTCACTATATCTCCGGTCTCCCCGGACCCTGCATTCACTATATCCGCTCTCCCCGGACCCTGCATTCACTATATCTCCGCTCTCCCCGGACCCTGCATTCACTATATCGCTCTCCCCGGACCCTGCATTCACTATATCCGCTCTCCCGGACCCTGCATTCACTATATCTGTCTCCCCGGACCCTGCATTCACTATATCTGGTCTCCCCGGACCCTGCATTCACTATATCTGGTCTCCCTGGACAATGCATTCACTATATCTGGTTTCCCAGGACCCTGCATTCACTATATCTGCTCTCCCCGGACCCTGCATTCACTATATCTGGTCTCCCACAGTACATACAACATGGAAGTGCGATTACTTTAGTAATTATAAGCTGCTAAATACCTTTTCTCATCAGCAGTTAGAGCAGTTTTGTGACTTCTATCAGTGTCCAGCAGAGCACTAGTTAAAGCTAGGAGGAGTTTACATTTTGCTCTAGGAGGATGCAGAACCCCTGACCTGTGTCTGGACAGTGCTGATTGGCCCTGTGCTGATCACATCCACTCTCCCAAGAAAAAAAAAACCTCTCTAGCAATACACACTAAACTGAGCATGTGCAGAATGACTACATTTGACATTTGAACAAGAGGAGGAGCAGAGAAGACAGGATCAAGCAGCCTTTGTACACAATGCAGAGGACTAACCCCTTAGGTTCCACAGTGAGTATAACAGCATGCGTTACTGCATCTACAGACTGATTGTACTGTTGTGGGTTTAGTAACAATTTAAGCAAATCTATTACTTTTCCCTGTCTGGGACAGAAAGGTCCGTTCATTAAAACTGTCCATACACCGCAGGCTGAACAAGTGACATCTCTCGGTTTCCCCTGCAGGATATTACATTTTGACAGCCAGAATCCATGACTGCCAGAATACCTGAACGGTGGCTGCTTCTGATTGGGTGAAGCCGCTGTCCAGCCAACAATTTTCCATCAGGCTCCTTCAATTTTCAGACTGAAGGATGTCAGGAGGGAGGGTGCCCACAGGGCCACCCAAGGCTGGAATCTTGGTCACTTTATCAGGAATCGTATAAAATGTGCATTGTTCCTTGATTCTACCCCCTACCCACCTCCGAGCATCTTCCCTTGGTTCCACCCCCCGCTCACCTCCAAGCATTGTCCCTTGGTTCCACCCCCTACCCACCTCCGAGCATCGTCCCTTGATTCCACCTCCGAGCATCGTCCCTTGTTTCCACCCCCTACCCACCTCCTCGAGCATTGTCCCTTGATTCCACCTCCAAGCATTGTCCCTTGGTTCCACCCCCCACTCACCTCCGAGCATTGTCCCTTGGTTCCACCCCCACTCACCTCCAAGCATTGTCCCTTGGTTCCACCCCCACTCACCTCCAAGCATTGTCCCTTGGTTCCACCCCCCCCTCACCTCCTAGCATTGTCCCTTGGTTCCACCCCCCCACTCACCTCCTAGCATTGTCCCTTGGTTCCACCCTCCACTCACCTCCTAGCATTGTCCCTTGGTTCCACCCCCCACTCACCTCCAAGCATAGTCCTTTGGTTCCACCCCCTACCCACCTCTGAGCATTGTCCTCTGGTTCCACCCCCTACCCACCTCCGAGCATTGTCCTTTGGCTCCACCCCCTACCCACCTCTGAGCATTGTCCCTTGGTTCTACCCCCTACCCACCTCCGAGCATCGTCCCTTGGTTCCACCCACCTCGAGTATTGTCCCTTGGTTCAACCCCCTACCCACCTCTGAGCATTGTTCCTTGGTTCCACCCCCTACCCACCTCTGAGTATTGTCCCTTTGTTCAACCCCCTACCCACCTCCGAACATTGTCCCTTGGTTCCACCCCCTACCCACCTCTGAGCATTGCCCCTTGGTTCCACCCCCTACCCACCTCTGAGTATTGTCCCTTTGTTCAACCCCCTACCCACCTCCGAACATTGTCCCTTGGTTCCACCCCCTATCCACCTCCGAGCACTGTCCCTTGGTTCAACCCCCTACCCACCTCCGAGCATTGTCCCTTGGTTCCACACCCTACCCACCTCCGAGCATTGTCCCTTGATTCCACCCCCTACCCACCTCTGAGCATTGTCCCTTGGTTCAACCCCCTACCCACCTCCGAGCATTGTCCCTTGGTTCCACCCCCTACCCACCTCCGAGCATCATCCCTTGGTTCCGCCCCCTACCCACCTCCGAGCATTGTCCCTTGGTTCCACCCCCTACCCACCTCTGAGCATTGTCCCTTGGTTCCACCCCCTACCCACCTCTAAGCATTGTCCCTTGGTTCCACCCCCTACCCACCTCTGAGCATTGTCCCTTGGTTCCACCCCCTACCCACCTTCCAGTGCTACCCCTTTTAGAGAATACAGAACCAAGTATTATATTGTTGTGCTAAGTAATTTGGAATGATAAAGCAGTAAAATAGATCCCCTGCAACCAGAAACAATAGACCCCCCGGCAACAAATATCCCCCAGCAACAATAGACCCCCACCAGCAACAATAGATCCCCCAGCAACAATAGATTATTCGGCAGCAACATCAAATCTCTAAACCCTCCAGCAACCATAAATAATAGACCCTCTCCCTCAACACTAGATCCCTCCCAGCAACAAATGACCCCCACTCAAAAATAGACTCCTGGCAGCAACATCAAATCTCTGAACCCCCCAGCAGCCAGCAATAATAGACTCCCTCCCATAACAGTAGAACCCTCCCAGCAACAAATGATCCCCCAGAATGATAAGACCCCCCAGCAACAAGAGATCTCACCCCCAGCAACAATAGATCCCCGACAGCAACATCAAATCTCTAAACCCTCCAGCAACCATCATTAATACACTCCCTCCTTCAACACCAGATCCCTCTCAGCAACAAATGACCCCCACTCAAAAATAGACTCTCGGCAGCAACGTCAAATCTCTAAACCCCCCAGCAGCCAACAATAATAGACTCCCTCCCTCAACAGTAGAACCCCTCCCGGCAACAAATGATCCCCCAGAAAGATAAGACCCCCAGCAACAACAGATCCCCTCATCAGCAACAATAGATGCGCCAACCATAATAGATTCCCCTGGCAACAATAGTACCCCGGCAGCAACATCAAATCTCTAAACCCCCCAGCAGCCAGCAATAATACACCCGCTCCTTTAACAGTAGATCCCTCCCAGCAACAAATGCCCCCCCTGAAAGATAAAACCCCCAGCAACAACATATCCCCCCCAGCAACAATAGACACCCACCAGCAACAATAGATCCCCCCCGCAGCAACATCAAATCTCAAAACCCTTCAGCAGCCATAAATAATAGACCCTCTCCCTCAACACTAGATCCCTCACAGCAACAAATGCCCCCCCTGAAAGATAAAACCCCCAGCAACAACATATCCCCCAGCAACAACAATAGATCCCACCAGCAACAATTTATCCCCCAGCAGCAACATCAAATCTCAAAACCCTCCAGCAGCCATAAATAATAGACCCTCTCCCTCAACACTAGATCCCTCACAGCAACAAATGCCCCCCCCTGAAAGATAAAACCCCCAGCAACAACATATCCCCCACCAACAACAATAGACCCCCCGGCAGCAACATCAAATCTCTAAACCCTCCAGCAACCATAAGTAAAAGACCATCTCCCTCAACACTAGATCCCTCCCAGCAACAAAGTCCCCCCTGAAAGATAAAACCCCCCAGCAGCCAACAATAATAGACTCCCTCCCTCAACAGTAGAACCCTCCCGGCAACAAATGATCCCCCAGAAAGATAAGACCCCCCAGCAACAACAGATCCCTCATCAGCAACAATAGATGCGCCAGCCATAATAGATTCCCCTGGCAACAATAGTACCCCGGCAGCAGCAACATCAAATCTCTAAACCCCCCAGCAGCCAGCAATAATACACCCGCTCCTTCAACAGTAGATCCCTCCCAGCAACAAAT